AAAAACCGACACTACAGTAATTTTCCATTTTGCGTCACAAATTCGGTATGTAGGCGATTAATGGATTAAAAGCCGCACATTTATGTCGCGCACACGCAAGAGCCTCTATGCGTCTGCCTCTTCGGTTACGTAATCATGAAATTTTGGCACAATTTTGGTACATGAGTAATCTGTTTCACGTGAAATTTCCTCGTCTCAGTCGCGCGCGAGCATCATCAGCAATCATTAACCGTCTCGTAATCGCCCTTCGAAACTGCGCATCTTTCTCTCACGCAAAAAGGGATGACAAGGTAAATTGATCAACCGCGGTTATCGGTTATCGGTGCAACGGTCGGCGGGTTATTTTCAATAACATACTTTGTATCGCTGGAAATTTACGTCGCAGAAAAATTTATCTATTTAAGAAAAACCGGCAATTGTCAAGGACTTTCGATGAATAATTTCTTTAAATTTTGCAAATTGAAATATAATACGCCCCGAAAGAATCGCGTTATAAATACAACACTTTGCAATAATAATTAAAGCAAAGTAGAACATTCTAATTAAAGAGAATTATCAATTAAAGGAGGAGAATTATTAATTCTTTTTGACACAAGTATTATAAAGATATTATATTTAAAAAAAGAAAATACTAAGAATAATTAATAGATATGTATTTATTACGGAAATATTCATTACAAATATTCATTAATAGTTAATCATTTATTTTTTATGATAGTTATTGATAAAGGAATAAAAACGAGGAATAATAACATTTACGATTCATCGATCTATTTAAGTGGAGCTTTTCCTGTGTTATGAAATGCGCATTTCTCATCACGCGCTTATCGATCGCGCGCTTGCGAAAATATTGAAATTACCCCCACGATTGTTCCGCCAATGTCGATATACTGACGTTTCTGTGTTTCTTCAGTACGATCGTGTACGGCAGTTATCACGCATTAGATCGATAAAACATACTAATCTAAAAAAGGATCAGTAATTTTTTTCGTCATTTTTACAATCCACTTTTACTTCTGAAAAAGATTTGTATTTATTTTAATTTATATTCATTATCCTTCGATATGCAAACAATTGGTATTGAATTTTTCGATATTATATCATTCGAAATTTTCTATTAGTCCTCTCTAGCATGTAAAATATTCTTTATATGTTATGTATATATTTTATGTATGTAAAATCTTTGTATTTAGAAAGAGTTTTCTATTTGATATTTCTAACCTAATTCGACCACGAATATAAATCGCAATTGAAGACATAAGAATGAGAGTGAAAAATGAATCTTTAAGTGATCTCCGTTGTTTTATATGCCGTCGCATATTGTGCGACTTATAAGTTTGCCCGTCGCTTTTGTTAGTGCGGCAGCGGGTCGCGGTGTAGACAAAGTGGGATGAGACGCCCTCAGCAAGAACATCATCATCATCACCACCACCATCATCACCATCATCATGGATCCTCAACAAGCCCCACGTGTTCTCGTCAAACACACGATAAGGTAAGTGCTTTTCTTGGCATTTATATACTGCAATTTAACGATATTTAATGAGAAGTCAGAATTTTCCTTCCAATGTTTTTTTATAATTATTAGTCATTTTGATAAACATCCGATGCGCCCAGAAAATATTACAAGTGCATATGTATTTCAATATATGTATATATTTTGTGAAATTGTGTATTTCTTAATATGAATAATAATGACATAATTATTTTTTATTCGATAAACTTGCGTTTTTTTTTTCAGTCTTCAAGCTTTATCGTTTTATGTTTGTTATTTTAAAATGATTAGAAGAACTGCTGCGTAAAGTTTCTGTAGTGGTTACTGCAGTCTTAATAAATAAACAATGACGCAGAGCAGTTTCTATATTCGAGATACAGCTATAGAAACTTTCCGGTCCTTTTACTGCATTGAACAAGAATGCGGAATCTATATCTATTCGTTACTCCACTTTGTCGAGGTAGTCCTTTTCAACAGTTAGCGACCGTTCGTCGATTATATGCTTTCTCGTTCCCTGTCACTTTACTAATCATTTATTCGACCCGTATATAAATGTCTTGCGAATGTCGGAAATATGAATTATCGCTCGATCCTTGAGACGTAGAGAATGTAAAGTCCATGCAAAGTAGATGTAAAATGGCATTTGAATGAGTTAAGAAAAATATGAAGTAAATATAGAGACCAAAATGTACTCTATCAGAATTTTATAATTTTATATAGATATAGACTTTACCTAGAATGAAATTAATTGAATTGTAATGCGCAATGTTGTATTATATATAATTATTAAGTATTGTATAATTGTATATATGATATAAAATATAAATGACATTGTAATTAAATAATAATTATTTAATAAATGCGCAAGATCTAAGCGACCTATCAAACGTCGCTTGTTTCAGGACGAGTCTCGTCTCGCTCGTGTAAAGCGCGTCCTGGCGGGTTCGCTGTTGGGCCGCGGTGCTGGCTCCAGCAGGATCTTCGGCACCCGGCTGGAGCTGGTCGAGTCGTATCTCGACACAGGTGTACCGTACGTGGTGCACCGGTTATGCAGCTACATCGAGGTGCACGGCTTCCAGAGCGCGGCGGTGTTTCGTCTGTCTGGCGGCAGTCCTCGGCTTGCGGAGCGACTGAGGGCGGCCTTCGAGCGGCGGGGTGACGCCGATCTAGAGGCAGCCGGGTGCCCACCGACTGCCGCGACCCTTCTCCGTCAATATCTGAAGGAATTGCCGCAGCCGGTCGTACCATCCACCCTCGTCGGCAGACTGCTCAACATTCACACTCGTGAGAATCCATAATCCTACCAATTTCACAAAATAATTCAGGATCCGAGAACGAAGAACTCCATTGGCAATGAGACGTCTATTCCGGGATACCTCACGTACAAATGTGGTCTCAGTTTAAAAATTTTAATTACCATAGAATGTTTTAGTATTAAAGGGAAACTTTGCTGAACAAGCTTACCACTCTGATTGAATTTCGTCACTTTTGTGTGACGCTTGATAAAATCTATAATAACAATATCTGTTCAGTATTTTAAAAAATCTGGTCAGTATTTGTCTGTCGTCATTGATGCACTGAAAAAAAATCTTAATTTTAAAGCAATATTTTTTTGCTCGTATTAAAAAAAATTATTTTTTTGGATCAATGAAAATATCTTTAAAAATAAGATATACATAATTTTGATTTTTTAACTTAATTTTTGAATATAATCTTCTTAATATTTTTGAACAATTAATTTTAACTATTATTTATTCTGTATTCTTAGTTTGATTATTCTTCGAACTATTGTTTGTATAATTTTTTGATGTGCGTACTATCGACATTGTGCAACACAAGAATCGTATATCCAGAAAATTCCTTCGTACGGTCTTTTAACCGTTAATGAGCAGTTTTTGTTACTCACTTTGGTCCGATTGACTTATGTATGGAAGAACTTTCTCACTATTACCGCGATTTTGGATATCTGAAGGTCAGTCTCGTAGCGGAAATATGTAATATTGATTGCGATATTTAACGTAACAATCGATGTAATTTTATTAAATCTCTTATTTTTCACGCAACAAATCCTGCGGTCTGCCTTTTTTTAATTCTTTTTATTATTAAAATTATCTGTTACAGAGAACTTTGCGAACGATCACGACTCGTGGATCGCCTCGACGAAGGAGCTGCTGTCGACTCTACCATCCTCGCATTACCATCTGCTTGGCTACCTGACGATTTACCTTAGTCGCTATGAGGCACGACACGGACGCAGCGCCGGAGTCTGCGGTGTTTTTGCACCCGTCATTCTGCCTCACGTTCCGCCTGCGACTACCCTCCTGCGGGATATCCTCGCCGAGGCACCAGTGCTCTTTCCCGACTGGTGAGTGACATATGATGATTCTCTTAGCATAATGCCTCGGAAGTCTCACAAAATAACGTTCCTCACGCAAGGAACTTACGTGCTTCACCAGCAGCGGAAACGAGCGGTATGTCTATTCTGTCTCATGTATTTGCATTTCTTATTTTAGAATCATTAAGACTATGTACAATATATTCCGTAAAACGTGAAAAAGTAGCTCTCAAAGAGAAAATAATTTATGGTTGATTATAATTTATGTTACGCAATAATAAAAAAATGTCGAATATTTTGTATAAATCGAATTTTTAAAAAATATAAACGTCGGATCGAGTTTTACACTTTTTTTTTATAAAACATTATTTTCCTAATCTTTTGAAAGACTTGCCCAGTTTTGTATTGATGTAAAAGAAAATTTTGAGGAAATATTCGTAATTTTTGCATAAGAAAAGATTATATAAAATACAGTAAAGTTTATTTGCGTCAAATTGATAATTTTGCAAGCGTTCTTGAAATCGTCAAAAAACCTTGTTAGCACAAAATCACGACAAAGTGCGGCTAACTACATTCGCATACCTAACTTTATGGTCTGTTCATGCACCGTTGCACATGTTGATCAATATCCTTCGGTCGGTTTGCTCGTCTTTTTTGTGAATAAAATAAAGGGATTTATCAGCGTGAGATCTCACATGACTTTTTATTTACGCGATAAAAAGTGGAAAGATTAAATTATCACATTATAAAAAAAAAGTACAAGCGTATTATGTCAGAATATAACAATGAAATCAATCATACATTTCTCATTTAATAGATCAGAATTCATATTCCGATATTTGTTCGCTTGTAAAATAAATATTTTTAATTCTTTTTATTACCTCGAAATTCAAAAATGGAAATATTTGAATATTTATTACATGAAACATGATATAATTTTATTGAGCTTAATTACACATGTATTTATTCTGGTTCTGAGAATTTTTTTTAAATTCTTAATTTCAAGCATTTTTAACCCGAATTAAAAGGAATTTTAATGAGAAACAATGAAATAAAATTTGAAATAAATTTATTATAATAATTAATACGGAAATTTTAATTTAATTTATTACAAGTACATAGTACATGGAATATTCTACTTAGTTTTTTTAATATTTCATCGACGAGACTTGCCGCAATTTACGGTTACTCAACATTCCGAGCCGAATAAATCGATCAAAGTACAATGACTCTGTTTACTCATCTGAAAATCCGATCTGGTCGCCGCGTCGTGTATTAATCGTGCTGTGAATTACGCAAGAGCAACACATTTGAATGTGTGGATCCGCTGACGTTGCTGCAAGATAAATTATAAAGCACACTCTGCGGAAAGCACGGCGCAACCATGTCGAGTTTGTGCGCGTAACTCTCTTAACGTACATTTCGATTTTCTTGCCGCGCTGTCTGATATCGTTTCACGATATTGCTCACATTTCCAACGTTTATTCCCTTTAGCCCGCAGCTAAAGGATCTATATTATTTCGATAAACTGTTCCTCTCTTCGAAATCACAAACGAAGCAGAATTTCCGCGGACGTCTGCTTCTCGACAGTCGGTTATCTAATTGGACTCTTCTAGTTATACTCGAGAGACTCTCTCTCTCGACTAAGGGCCGACATCTAGATATTATTTTCTAACCCGGGGCATTCCGTTTGTTCCTTCACCACGATTACATCTCGATCGCTTGGACGTCTCAATGAAGAGATCAAGCGCACTTGTAATTTCTTGTTTTTTGTACATCCTCAGCAGACGCAGATTACATAAGAATGAAAGAGAAAAAAGATGCTTGCTATTAAACTGAAGTTCATACTTCAATGTATTTTTTATTTTTTAAGATATATTCTTTAAGGTTTACTGATTGGTGGTCGCTATAATCGTGACGTCACACACTACTAAATTTATTATGTTAAATTATATCCAATTTAAGTTATTTTTAATCATAGGTATCTATATTAATCTATGAATCGCCACTGTTTGTATTTAGTGATTATGTCGTTAATTTGATTAAAATAATAGGGTTAAACAATTTAAACTCAAGAAACTGTATTCAATTTGACTTAAATTTAGTTCACTATTTACTAATGCTACTAAAGTGCATAATATGGACGATGTTTACTTTGAAACTTATAGACTATAGGATTAAATTGATTTACATTTTGATGTAGATGGAAATTAAAAATAATAAAATGTTATTTACCTCGTATTTATGGAATTGCGTTACTATTGCTTCTTTGATATTTAACAGTGTAAACAAGAAATTACATGTTGAAGTTTCTCTTATGACATCACAATTCTTATATTCACGGCGGCTAGTCATCAGAAGCCTTAAGCGGAAACCAATTATGATTAGATTATATTGAGATAAGATAAATAAAAGAGAAATATGCAAATATATATATTAGATAAATAATTATCGCTCTGCGTCTTGTGGTGAATCTATAGATTCAATTCGATTCCTGCGCATGTAAGCGAAAAAACTCCGTATTTCTCGCGTGGATATGAAGGACTTCTCTCTCGAGTACTTCACGTACAAACAGTACGATTTCATCGCGTGCAAAAGCTACCGAATCACGCAAAAAGCATGTTAAGCAGCATCGATAATTCAGATCACGCGGAAAGCGGCACGAAATTGTAAAGCATTTATTTCTTGTGCATTTGGAATTATTATATTTATATAGAATTCCAACGCCTCTATTTTTTCTTCTTTATTATAACTGTTAACGATCTGTAAAACCTAACGATTTGGTGAAATAAAAATAAAAATAAAAATGGGTGTAAATAATATAATAAATGTAGACAATACATACATTTTTTAATATTTATCTTAACTGTGAATATTAAAACGACTAACGGTATAAATATTCCTTATTTAGATGAAACCTTTTTTTACTCAAACTTCGATACATACATATAAATATTCGATAAAAATAAAATATATATTATAAATGTTTTTAGTAGCTGAAAACTAGAGCGTACACTTTTTGCATTTAAAAAATAAATTTATATTTTATATTTAGCAAAAGCGAAAAGGAAAGTTTTAGTGCAGTCCAGTGCAGCAACAAAAAACAAACTTAAAGTTAGCTCGAGTTATTTTTACGCGTGTCTATTTTTTTTATTTCAAGCTCTTGCGAATTAGTTATTAAATAAGTGGAAATGTCACAGAAATGCATTAGCAAATTGCTGGCGTCGAATTATACAGACGTAAGTGGGAAACGCACTTGAGAATATTTGCGACCTTCTATGCGATTAATTTTGTCGTTACATATCTCATCGTCATTGAGACGTTTGAGACGTGATACAGAATTGCGATCCTTGGCCTTGTCGCACGTCATTGACGCGGGCGTACTTGAATGCATGTTCGATATATTTCTTTTCCTCCCACATAGCAATTTTTTAATGAATGTATCAGTTTCTTATTCGCATTAACTTTAATATAGTTTGCACTCACCTTTTTAATACATGCCTCGCTGCATTTCCTCAAAAAGAATTTTTATCTCGCAGTAATGAATCTCTGCTATTTACAATTTAAATATGTTTCAGAGTTCGACATTGAAAATTGATAGAAATATACGGTGTCTGTGAAGCACGGCATTTTTATTAATTTCCAAAAAATAATGATTGTTCCGGTAGCATTTTCTATTGTTCCATTGTTCTTGGATATCTATTAGCTCTCTATATGATAATATTGATTGTACTAATATTCTAAGTTAGAAATTATCGACTCTATGATTATATTAAGAAATTCATCGCTATGATTTATCTATAATTACTATCTGAAAAATCTGAAAAAAAATATTTTTATACAAATTTTTAGGTACAGAGCACTGAGCTTTTGTAATTTGATAATAATCTGATAATATATATTAAGTATTGAATTTTTTCTCTAACAACTGTATTTTTCTGCGTATTGAAAATATCGAGAACGACGTAAAATTACTTGTTGTTATTAATAAATTTCTACGCAAAAAAGTTCTTGATATAAAGGGATAGTGCACAATTTAATATTGACGGTTTAATATTGATAATACAATAGTATCAAAGCGTTTCGTAATTAGGTAATGTCAATTTTTTGACCGAACGCTTGTTCTTAATTCTAATTAATATTTTATCTCATTATTATTGATTACTTCAAAGATTTTCGTTTTGTTCGAGAATATAAGATGACAAAAGATAAAATAAAATAGGAGATATTAAATTATTGTAGATAAATAATCTAAATAAATTGAAAGTTAAATAGTATAATTATAGAGAGACTCTATAGATAATAATATAATAATATGCAGTAGCTACATGTAAAATATATGCAATATGTACGTTCTCATTGCACACGTTTTCTTTCTTTTATTTATAAAAGATTTTTATATTAACTAAGTAATTTGCAAGATTGATAATGATATTCAGCTCCTTGCGCTTAGCGACGCATTTAGAATCCTTTGTAGTTAGATGAAACTATAAGCGAGCGATTAATCTTAGCTCGTAAAATACTTAAATGTGTCGTGCGGTAGAAAAAAGATCGCTACGTTACTCACATGAACGACACGTAAAAAGGCACTAAAGCATGATAATAAATATTTTTAAGAGAGGACAGTGCTCTTTTTCTCAGTAAAAAAAAATTAACATCCAAGATTGATCGCGCTTCTCGAGACTATCACGCGAGATTGGCGAACTATACCGCGTGCTTCATCAGACACAATAGACTATGATAGGCATGTGAAACAATGTTGTAATCGTTCAAGGCATCGTTCTACAATCAATAAATCGTTAGTCTTACTAATGACAAGGAATTATTCAAATGACTGTAATTATATCGTCAATGAATATTAAACTTTCGTAGTATTTATTAATCTCACTTATGACTTAAAATTTTTAATTGTGTGTTCTTTTGTACTGGCACATGCTGGCATATTAAGAAAACGATAAATTAATGGATCAATTCTAAACAGAATTGCAATGTTCTCGTAAAGCCGCGTATACATCCAGCGAACGAATGCTAATGTTCGGATATTTGTGTTTGTGTTGTTGCAGTTTATTTTTTTTTTCTTAATTGTACCGAATACTAGTATTCAATTAGATTCGATGTTCATTGCATATAGCAATTAAACTTGTGTAACAAATAATAACATATACTTTTTGCGTTTGCTGTTAGTTCGCTAAGTGTATACACGGTTTAAGATTTGTAAGAACTTATAACTAGAATTGTAATTTGATGCGTATCGTAAGACGTACAATCATTTATCTACGATTTCTCATAAATCTTATAGGCTTTCTACAATAAGTCACCACTCATATCACTAATGATAAGTCAGAATTACAAGTAATAAATCTTAGGAAACTTACATCTAGAAAATCATATTAGATCGTTTTATCACAATATTTTAGTCAATCAGAAAGGTGGCAGTTCTCAGGACTAATAACAATAAATTATATGATTGTTCAGTCATAACGTAATCTAAGTTTTAAATTGTAAGAATTTGGCTATCTCCATGTAGTCACTTATTACTGGCTTGTTATTGCTTTATGACATATTGCAACTCATTTCTGACTTTTGATCTATTATTACCGTCTTATTGTAGAAAGCTCATTACACTAACAAGATGCTGTCTGTAAAAATATTGCATAAAGTTATAAGCATTCCAGTCTTTTTTTACAAGTCAGTTCTCTTACAAATCTTACGAGAATAAGTTACGAGTCTTATGATTTTGTTTAGAATTGACCTTATAAAACTATAAAGAATAGATTTTGGAGGAAAGCAATTTATAAATCTGCTTATTATATCGTACAAGCGTGGGTAGACGATAAACTATCGTCGTTGAATTTTATTATAGATTAAATCTGCCAATACACGACAGACGGAAATTAACGTCACGTTTAATCATTTTGCTATCCGATAAAGGAATTATAAAAAATACATAAATGATAAACGGATTAATTCACGCATGAAAGATTTGTTACATGTAGTTGCATGAATTATGCTACCGATAAATCCATAAGATTAAATCGAATAAATTGATTAAACAAGACATTGCAAGAGAGAGAACTTTTATGTCACTTATATTAACGATGATAAAATGAGGAGTGATATATTAATTATAGGTAAGTTGAATAAAAATTCTATCTTAAGTAGCCATTAGTTGTGACACTGCATCTCGCAATGGAAATAGCGATGATAAAGTGAACCTGCCAGCGAGCAGGTAAGTTGCCGAAGAGAGAGAGAGAGAGAGAGAGAGAGAGAGAGAGAGAGAGAGAGAGAGAGAGAGAGAGAG